AAAATGCAATGGTGATCTGAAATATAAACATCCTCAGGACAAACACTGTCAGCATTTAGACTCAGGGTAAAAACAAGGTCTAGAGTGTGTCCCCTGGTGTGTGTGGGGCCAGAAGCATGCTGGGTAAAGCTGAGGGAGTCCATAAGGCTGGAGAAATTCATGGCAAAGCGATCAAAGGGATCATTAACGTTGATGTTTAAGTCACCAGCAATCACCAGTCTGGACAGCTTCACAGTGGAGGGTAGAAAGTCACTTAACTCCTGAAGGAAAGAACTGTTTGGACCAGGTGGACGATAGACCACAGCACAGTAGAACGGGTCCTTACGCCCGACTTTAATCAGCTGCAGTTCAAAGGAAGCAAAATGACCAGAGGTTGTAGAGCTACATGGAAGATGGTCTCTGAAAACAACAGCTAGGCCTCCACCACGACCAGAACGCCGGGGCTGGCTAAGAAAAGAATAACCACTCAGGCAGAGTTCAATCAGACCAGAATAATCAGATGTTTGCTGCCAAACTTCAGTCAGAAACAGAAAATCCAGTTTTTTAGAGAGAATTAGATCACTGAGCAGGAAGGACTCGTTAACATAGCGGGTATTTAATAGAGCCATGCTGAGTGAGGTGGAGGAATCAGGAACTACAGAAACAGCTGGAGTTAGTGGACGTAAATTAGCAGGGTTATATCCACGGTGTTTCTAAAAACCACTTATGGAGGGAACAGGAGGAGAAACCACTGACGAATGAGGATAAACCGACCTTAAAAAACTAAACCGACCCGCAATGCGGCCTGGCGGGAATGCGGAAGTGGCGTTCAAGTTGCCAAACAAAGGACAAGAAGCTAGAAGATCACGCCGATGTTTACTAGATAAATCATGCTTTGAGAGAAGTCTTATTCTCACCTGGATTCCTGCTCCCAAGCAAAGGTGCCATCTTGTTACCGACCGGGAGACAATCCCAAAACAAAACATGAGTCTGAAAACTCAGATTAGGGCTGAAACGAATCACCAAATGCTTCATTCATCAAATCATTTTCACACAGCCCGAACACAATTTACTAGTGCACAACGTGGTAATGTCGGTGCTGTGGAGGAAAACGGAGAAACCAGCCAAGACACAAACCACTGGAAAAGGCAGAAACGGTCGGATGTTTGGGATCAAGAGTTGAACTACAGGCAGGCTGGCTAATGCTACTGCTAGCATGTAGCAAGCTCGATCATCTCCAGCTTCTATATGAAACTATAAAACTACCCGAGCTCTGCACATGTCTGTGGACTCCGAGGTCAGCTGACTGTGGCAGCCATCTTGAACTGTTGATTTAGGAAGACTTTCTGAGAGTTTGATGAAATCCATCCAGTGGTTCAGCAGATGTTTGGCTGACAAAGATCAAGATGAACCATTTTATCTATTTTCATTCTGATTTGAGGATTTTAAGCTGACAACATCAACATTAGGATAGATTAATTTTCCCAGCGGAACTCTCTGATATCTAGAAACCCGATCTCAGTGGCTCTTCATGAATCAGTCAGAGAATAAAGAAGCTGCTGGTTTCATCAGAGCCCAGATCCCAGCAGAGTGCGCACACACACACACACACACACACACACACACACACACACACACACACACACACACACACACACACACACACACACACACACACACACACACACACACACACACACACACACACACACACACACACACACACACAGAGGTTCGCAGCCTTCTCCTGTCAGTAATTTGTTGCTAATCAACTGTCAGCACAGAGGAGATGATGAGGTGATCATGGTGGGCGGTGGAAGGTAATAGCCTTAAAAGTCACAGAGTCAATGTCAATGGGATCACTCGGATTCAATCAGGAGCTCCTGGATAAAGGATGACGCCTGCTGACATTACCACTCATTTTGAGCCCAAGCATCTGGGCCCTAGTAAATAACCATCAGTGGGAGGGTCCCGGGGACAGGTCATTAGCCCTGAGAAAAATAAATATCTCCTCTCTGCAGCAGGCTGCAAGTCATTTAGCACAGACTCAGAAATTTCACCCTAGATTAAGTATGATGAGCCAGTATCAGTCAGAGGAGGAGGGGATGCTTGATGAGACACAGGGACAGTTTTATGAAGGTCTCAGCAAACAAGATCCTAAAAGTCAGGAATTGTGTCAGGAAGAGCAGGAACAGGTCTGAGTAGATGTGATGACTGTCGGTGGTAAGGAGGAAAGAGGGATATTTTCTACACGACTGACTGGTGAACTACAGCAGATGAAAATTTTTCTGTCGTAACTCTAAATTTGTTCAGTTACGAAACTTCAATCGTTCAAAAAGTCGCCAAATGTTTCCAACAGCTATCACCTCAAACCTGATTCCATTACAGCAAAGCTAATGAAACTTTTTCATAATAAATCCATAATGTAATCTAATCCCATCAACATAATTAATTTATTCCATCTGCAAAGAGCCAGTTTATTAATGCAAAGACTTTATTTTAAATATTCATATCAACTGATTCATCTCTGATGTGTAAGAACTCAGCTGCAGGAACTCACAACTCTACTCAGTTTATTTCTAAAGCGCCAAATCAGGACCAGAGTCGTCTCAAGGACCTTCACACAGTAAACATTCCAATACAGGTCAGGTCATTAAGCCAATCAGTAACAAGTTTCCTCTAGAAGGAATCCAGCAGGTTGCATTGAGTCACTGACTAGTGTCTGAGTCTTTACAGCAATCCTCATACTAAGCAAGCATGCAGCAACAGTGGAAAGGAAAACTTCCTTTTCAATTCAATTCAAATCAAAGATACTATTAATCCCAGAGGGAAATTAGTGTTTCAGTACACACAATTCTGAGATCAGACATACATAGGCATAGACACATGACAAGAATTGGTGACTGTGGTCATTCGCAACCCGAGTCACTCTACTTTAATAGTGATCAGAGGGTTTATATGAGGATTGAGTCAGGTGGAGGAAAAAAAGTCACTTCAGAGTTATCCTCCACAGGGAGGGCAGCTTTGCTCTGCAAAAAACACCTCAGAGAGAAATGCAACAGACATTACACAACATAAGTATCCACTAGGTGGGGTGGTAGGGTTGGGGACTCTCCAAACATCAGTGCGTGCAGCCGCGATGAGCAGCGCTCGTCACCTCCGTTTGGACAGGGGAGGGAGGACGTTGCACCGGTCGCAGTCCCGCCCAGGCTGGGATAGGGAGACAAAGTTGCCATGGTGACAGCAGCATTCCACATTTCTTCTGAGGGGGAGTTATCGCTTCAGCCTCACAGGCTCAAGGGCACCAGATTCAGATAAAAACTTGTTTTGGGTCCAGACAGAGATAATTTCCTCTCTGTCTTAAAGTTATGTTGATCTCCAACCCCTCTGAATCCAATAATGGTGTAGATTAATCTATTCCAATCAGTGCTGATCCGTCAACTCCATCCTTGATGACATCAACCTTCTATGCCAGAGTCTGAATCTCAGCCAACGTTCCAAGCTTATGACTCATCTCGACAATTATATGAGTTTGTGCATTCACAGCGCAGTGTAATCCATCCCTGAGCTCCGGGATTGAGCCAATATTCCTCGACAGCTCATTAATTTTCCGGTAAGCCAGGTAACCGCTCAGGCCAAACAGCACGAAACCTGACACCAACACCACGAATATCCAGACGTCTTCAGAATCCTCTACAGACAGTTGAGATAAGCAGATCAGGTTCCACTGTTTCCAGGAGTCCATGATATGCCCAGCTGGCTCTGTCCCAGAGGGGCAACCGGGAGCCCCTTCTCCCGTTCTCATTGTTGAAAAAAATTTGTCAATCGCGTTGAGAGACCAACTGACCAGATCCATTTTAATCATTTCCAGTTTCCAGAAAAAATGCAGAAGCGCCGTACACCCAAAGACAGACAAAGAGCCTCTTATAGTATAAGCATTACAGAGTTGCTATCATCTATAGTACGTAATCCAATAGTGTCTAATCTATTGGAGAAGGGTCCAGACTAAAGTTGTCATTTGCATTTTTTTTACTGTGTGGGCATTGGACGAGCCCCTGCACTGTGAGAACAAACATCTCAGCTCTAAAGCCGACCTTCACCCGCATACGTCACACGTCACGTGATCAGGAAGCAGAACATCCATGTGTTAGGAGATCGTTTTGGACCGCTGCTGTAAAAAAAGTGAGGCGCGAACCAGAAAAGCTTCTGCCGATCACAATCCAACAACGGATTATGAAAGAACGGATAACGCTTGAAACGCGCAGATTCTTCCTGATGTAAGTCTCCGCTTTGTTTTGGTTGTTTTGGCGTCAACATCATCCTAGCGTGCAACGTTATGTGACTCACAGTGAAAACACTGAAAAACACTGGCAGCGAAGGGCTTTACCGATCAGCAATGTTCCAAAGGTGGAAGAAGGAAATCCTACAAACCTATTTAACGTGGGATTTGAACAACATGTCCTGGTCAAAGATAACACCAAGGTTCCTTACTTTGTTCTCAGAGACTAATTTAAAGCCGTTCAGGTCAGGTGATTGACTAAGCAGTTTCCTTTTCTGGATTTCAGGTCCAAAGATGAGAACTTCATTCTTATCTTGAATTAAAAGCAGAAAGTTTTTAGTCATCCAATTTTTTATGTCTTCAAGACAGATACTATTTTATAAAGCTTTACAATTTAGGATTATGTGGACAGAAAGAACCAAAGAATGACCTAAAGGTGCCGCATTTGGCTGCTTTTGATGATTTTTAAGTGTTTAAGTAACCAAAAGCATCATTCTGACAGGGGGGATGGTGTGATTGTTTGGGTTTACTCACAGTTTGTCTTTAGGTCAGACTTATTCTGGTTAAATGAAGGATTTAATAATCACTGATCTCTTGTCCGTATTTATGTAACACAATCAGGATCTATAGACACCAGCAGCGTATATGTATGCAGGTCTCTGACACGATTTACATAAAAAGAATTATGCTTTTAATCACCAGGTGTCTTTAGTAGGTGGTTTTCCCAGAAGGTGTGACCAACCTGGCAGCTTAGCTATTTGGCCCCGCCCACCACGGTCCGATGGTTTTAGGAGGAGGGACTGTTGGGCTTTGGGCTCGTTTCCTGATCTTGATCCAGCTTGCATCTGATAAAAAGGCAAAAACAAAATCAAATGTCTGAACAGAAGAACCCGATCATAAACGTGATTCCAGTCATGAGTATGGGAAGGAAGTCAAACATGAACCGCTCACAGAAACAGTGGTCTGACGTCTCTGGAGGAGGCCGACAGAAACCAAACCCAAACTTTATGTGGCAGTTTGTGGTCAAACCCATTGTTATGGTGAGCTGATAAACTAGAAGGACAAATTAGCCCCAAGTCTGAATCTGAATGTGTGTGTCTGCACTGAAGCTGATTACCCCGCCTGGAAGACGATCATTAGCGAGTCAAATACCAGCACAAATGGCCACCCGAGATAATGGCTGACATTCATCTATGTCTGAGTTCAGTCAAGCTCTCTGCTAAACACCCAAACCAGGGAGCTGAAGTCTGACTAGTCAAATGTCCTCTCTTCATGGGGACGAAGCGAAGCTGCAGCTGCGGTATAAGTGGACTTGGGAAGTCTTGCACGATTCCAGGCAGATAATGCTAAAAGATCCCGAAATTAGATCCAAACCAAATGATGGAGCACAAAGAAGCAGTGAGAAGGAAGCAAACGGTGAAAGCTTGTTGCGTAACATTTTAACACTCACCCACTTCAGTGTGATCAATCAAGTGCGTGCATGTCCAACCCTCTGCCCCCACATCTGTTCTTACAAGTGCTGTCCATATAACAGGCGCCTGTCATTTTCGCCTGATTTTATCGACTCATCCTCCGAGCCACTGTAGGGGTTTAGATCACAATTATCATTTTTTATGAATACATTTTCATGAATATATTAGCTTGTCCTCCCCACTGCCGCCACCCACCACACACAGACACATTTGGTGTAGTGTTGTTTTCTCACAGTTAATCAGTGGCCAGATAAATCAGAGGCCATATTTGCAGTCCATCTGCTGGGAAGGTGCAGTCGGATCCAGGCGCCATTCAGACATGCTGGACAATAACAGGAAGTGAAGAGACAGCTCGCAGACGTTGCAGGCATCACACTTCACAGCTCACCATGTTCTGTCAATACAGATGTCTAGCCAAGAGGGTTCCTCTTGTATTCCTGGATCGAGGCAAACCACAACTTTCAGCCGTAGTTCTCAGACTCGGGCATTACACGGACCAAATCTCAGGCCGGATGATCTGACCAGCTGACTGGCTGCGGTTTCTGAACTCGCACGCTAAATGGAAAACAACCTGGAGAAGTTCTCAGCACGGCTTGGTGACACTGACCCAGATTCGGCTGTTTGGAGTTGTGCTTGGGACCACTGAGAGAACTTAAGGTTGGAGCAACAAGCCATCCTGCAGTAAAACAATTGTTGTTACGGTAATCTGGCTTCCCATGCTGGCCTTGGAAGGCTGAATAATCTCAAACTCCCTCTGGATGTTTACGCAGATAGATGCTCTGCCCCACCCTCCCCCAGCCTCATGTGGGTCCGGGAGGTCGTTGGTTAAACGGACTCACTCACTCACTCACTCACTCACTCAACAAGCCCCCTTTCTCCCTCATGCCTTCAAACATTGTAAAACGTAGGGTTAGTATTGCCACACTGATATTACTTTATTTGTATTTCTGGTGTGATACTGTTACTGTCATCTCCTGCCTCGATTACTGCAATGCCCTTCTAACTGGTCTTCCAGGCTGGACTGTGAGACCTCTTCAAATGGTCCAGAACGCAGCGGCGCGTCTGGTCTTCAATCAGCCAAAAAGAGCAAACGTCACTCCTCTGTTCATTGAGCTCCACTGGCTACCGCTAGCTGCACACATCAAATTCAAATTGCCAACACTAGCATACAAAGTCTGAGATGGTACGGCTCCCATCTACCTGAATCCTCTTGCAAAGGCTTACGTCTCGGCCCGGCCGCTCCGGTCATCACAGGATCGTCGGCTAGCACCACGCTCAGGACAATCCAGACTCTTCTCATGCATCGTTTCACAAATGTGGAATGACCTACCAAGCACTACCAGAACTGCGGCTTCCTTTTCGACTTTCAAGAAACTCCTGAAGACCCTGCTCTTCAGAGAGCATCTTCTAAACTAGCACCCTCCCTGCACCCGTCCCCCTCTCTACTGTCCAGCCCTTGTTCTCTCCTCTCCATGATTCATCATGCTGCCTCACTGCCACCTACGACTGACTGGAAATAGTTTGTTGTTGTTGTTAATGTTGTTGTTAGCCTCAAGGGCAACATGCCCATTATAACTTGTAAGTCGCTTTGGACAAAAGCGTCTGCTAAATACATAAACATTAATATAAAACATTACAGTCACAAGCTTTCTACTCTGCCGTTCGGGGTTTAACGGTTTGTGACAAAATGCATTATGGGAATCTGTGCTGTCCCAAGTCTGCGGAAGGATGCATCCTTCATGGAGTAAGAACACATCTGGGAACTTTGAGCACACTTGTCATGATACGTACCTAGGATTGGAACAGTCCTTGGGCCATCGTTGGTGACGCTTTGGAAGGGTGTGAGTACACAAGTTCAGACGGGAACGCATACAGAGAAACGGCCCATGTGAACTTTACTTCCAACAAATCTGCCTTCAAAAATTTTAATGAATGGAATAAGAATGAATAAAAAGAGAAAATCCTAAAACTACAGAAACTCCACCAGTAGCCCTCTGGAACGTTGGACTAAAGCCCCAAGCCCGTGACAGTGCTTTGTTATTCCAGATGGCTTTATGGGTCATGAAAGAGTGATTCACGTGTCACACTAAAAGTGCTCGTGGCAGGCCTGCCGTCTACGTGCTCCTCTCCTTAAAAACCAGGAAGCACCCCATCAATTATTTGCTAAGCAGCCATACTGAAGATCTCACTCTGAACAGTGTGTGGGGATGGCAGCGCTGTCAGCGTGATGATAGATGCACTGGAGGCTCACGCTGTCCCCAGCACGCCTCTCCGAGGGTCGACAGCTGTACAAAGCCGAGCTGTTGGCGTGTGTGTCTGTGTGTGAGACTGTTGGCGTGTGTGTCTGTGTGTGAGACAGACAGAGACACGTGCACCAGCGCTGTTGCACGTACAGGGAACATAAAACACACTAGGGCCGTCAGGGAAGTGAAGTAAAGCAAGAGAAAAGTATGGTTTTAATCATCGTCTCTGATCAAATAAGCAAAAACAACACAGCTGCAGATCAGGGGTGTTTAAACACACGTGTGAGGGAAAGTCAAAGCTTTAGAGCAAAAATGTTATCAAAAACGGAAGAGCTAAAGTATCAGCAGCTCATAAATCGTAAAAATTAAAATGGGAGGAAATCATAAAAGTAATGTAATAAAGTAATCAGTGGTAATCAACATAATGCAAATTTGTTTATATATGAATGTATCTTTAAAGGAATAAGATAGAAAAGAAGTTAGTAATCAAACCGATATGTGAATGCACCACAGAAGGAATTAGAGATTAGTATCATAAAATTTAAGTATAAAATGAACCGAAATCAGTCATAAAATGTGTAAAAATTCTAAAATCTCTAGGAATAAAAAAAAAGAAAACAGAATTTGAATTCACGTAACAGTTAGAGGATTTACTCACTTTTAACTGTTTTGAACTCAGTCATAAATCTATAGAAGCCCACAGCATGACCACAACAGTCATTCAAGTCTGTACGTTATGTTTAGACATGAATTACACACACACACACACACACACACACACACACACACACACACACACACACACACACACACTCAACAGGACTTGTGTGACTTGAAACAGAGAACCGAGGGAGAGCGGACGGAAAGGTTTCCACCTTTGGAATATTGCTAAGATTAGATGCATCCTTTCCAGGAGTGATGCTGAAAAACTAGTTCATGCATTTATTACATCAAGACTGGATTACTGTAATTCATTACTCTCAGGAAGTCCACAGAATGTAGTTAAGTCTTCAGCTTGTCCAAAGTGCTGCAGCTAGAGTTCTGATGAGAATTAAAAAGAGAGATCATATCTCTCCTGCCTTAGCTTCCCTACTACATTGGCTACCTGTTAAATTCAGAATAGATTTTAAGATCCTTCTTCTCACATATGAAGCTCTTAATAATCAAGCTCCATCATACATCAGTGATTTGATTGTTCCATACGTTCCTAACCAGGCACTTCGCTCTCAGACTGCAGGTCTACTGGCGGTTCCCAGAATATCTAAAATTAGGGTGGGAGGCAGATCTTTTAGTTATCAGGCTCCTCTCCTGTGGAACCAGCTCCCAGCCTTAGTCCGTGAGGCAGACACTTTGTCTACTTTTAAGAATAGGCTTAAAACATTTTTATTTGATAGGGCCTATGGTTAAACTCTGATGTTAGCCTAAATCTGGACAAGTGGGGGAGTAGAGGGAGGTGGAGTGTACAGTCGGTAAAGACGGCTCTCCCTTGCCCTGCCTCCAACATGCCTCCATCTAAATAGGATAGATTATCCTGAGTTATCTCTGTAGTTATGCTGCTATAGGCTTAGACTGCTGGAGGATAACTGACCACTTTTCACACTCTACTACTTTCTTCTACAATCTGCTCTTTAACTGTATTATTTTCTGCAATTTCAGCTGTTAACTATTTTCTCTCCAAGTGCTTTTCTCCCCAGAAGAAGCTACAACGATGTTCTGCCGAGCTGTGGTGGCCTCATGGAGAGGGCCATCGTCTAGCACACTGATGCTAACCACTAAAACTTTCTCCCTCTCCTGATAATAACACTTTACTTTCCTTGACGTTGGATGTGCTACTACTAGTTTATCAGTTTAATTATAGATTCACTAGGATAAATACAATAAAGTTTATCTCTCACCAAATAGAGTATTTACTAAGACATCACAATATAACTATAGACACATTACTTTGTCTGTGTGTGTGTGTGTGTGTGTGTGTGTGTGTGCGTGTGCGCGTGTGTGCCTGCGTGCCAGCTCTGTCTTCTCCATCCCCAGTGAGTCGTGGAGGATGGCTGCTTATACTGAGCCAGGATTCTCTGGAGGTTTCTTCCTGTTAAAAGGGAGTTTTCCTCTCCACTGTCGCTTTATGCTTGC